CATTCGACAAAGTACATGATAGTTCTAGAAACGTTGCGTCATAGTAGTCACGTGACTCGCTGACGCAACAATACTTTGTTTGACTTCACAGATCTACCTGCAAATAGTGTATATTATGTGTGTATTTCATAAACCTAGTTTTAAGTTAAAAGTTTTCTATTACCCTATGTGCTGTTTAAGAAGTTGTCTTTGGTGTAACTTGGAGAGAAAAAGAGTTAGGATGTAGAATTTCATTATAATATATTTAGAAATAATACTGTAGCAATAGTGACATAAAATATTTTTGCTAAATTTAATTAATAAAATCGTACAAATATATTCTATACCTATTGCAGCAAATCTTCCACCCCAAGCATTACTTGCAGAGAAAATTAAAAAATACAGCATGGAAGAAAAGGCAGAGGAAGAAAAGAGTGAAAAGGAAGAGAAGACTAAATTTTGTGCAAATGTAAGTTTTATTCGACTTCTGTGGCATAAATCAGTTTAACTACAGTTGTATTATTGCTGTTTTAAACAAATATTCACACACTGTTTGAATGCTAAGGGAGTACAAATTCCATTTTTGAAAGCTTGTCAGCAACATGGTTGAAATAGTATTTACATTTCAACAGTTTGTTAACTTGGAAAACCACCTGTTAAGTGTTCTGCTAATTTTTTAGGTTAATGTGCCATTATTTTCAGTACAAAATTTTTATATTTGCTTGGAGTTTTATCAATATTGCATTATTACTACATTGTATCATGATTCATGAAATAAATACCACACATTCTTTGTAAATAACTACAACTTGGAAAATAATACTCCAAAATATTGTAAATTTTGCCTCAGAAATAGTTGCTTAATATCACTAATAACACTTAAATGTCCTTGATATTAATTACATTAAGGCTGATGTGTGATGTAGGTGTTTACTGTAAGTTAGTAATGAGTAAATTGAGGCTGACTTAAAAGAACAGCTGGTCATTTGCTCTGGTAGCTCAACAAAGACCCATTATGTTCTAAGATTGAATATAAAAATGTAACATCACATGAAAGTATAGTACTGCTATAACTTATGTACATGGTATTAGAGTAACAAAATTTATCAAGAACTGCATTGCCAATGAAGCTTTTTTTTTTTTCATTGGTGATATTACACAAATAGTTGATTGTTGGATCTTGTAAGTCTATATCTTGAGCATTTGGAACTAATGGTTTACTAAGAACAGATAGAATACAGTGTATGTGTAATATATGGTGTTAGTCAGATGGAGAGAGAAGTTTCTACAGACATAGCTTAAATGCATAGTGTGTATTTTAACCCACACATTACATGAAATATTCAAGTGTATCAGTGACCTTTACTTATAAATAACAAAGTTAAATATACAGTTTGTTAACAGTTAAAGAAAAGTCTAGTGAAAATTACAGTTTTTTGCACTGATTAATATTGTTTTGTAACATTTCTTAAGAAAACATTTGACAAAATGAAAAGTAACAATATTCTAACTGTATTAAAATTAACTTTGATCTTAACTGGTACTGTTACTAATTTCGTTTTAAAAGTGTGTTCTGTTCGATGCATGCTCTTCCATTTCTGTTTGTCATTCGTAAGTTTTCTTATTACATTTACTAAACTTATTCCACTGGATCAGTAAAATTAAAGATTTCTCTTTAACTGGATACTAGTAAATCCTTTTTTTCTTGTGTTACTACAGTACTTAAATACAGCCCAGTAATTTTAATGCAAGTTTGATTTAATAAACTTGAACCTGATCATAACAACTACTAATTGTTGTGCAATTAGCTTATTTCAAAACAGTAATAATATTAATGTAATTTTCTGATGACTTAAACAGGGGTGACTACATAGGTGAGTTAAATAAGTGGTACTTTATTGAAACATTAAAAGAAAAATAATGGAATCTGATTCTTTAATTGAAGTGAGGTGCTTAATAGAAGCAAATTTTTTAACCCTTAACGTCAGCTATGACTACTTATTTTTTAATTATTTGTATCTAAATTTACATATGAAAACTTTCAATTCATGATTTCTTTCCTATTTTAATTAAATAAAAAAGGTTCAGGTTTTATATTTCTTCTGAAAGGAATACAGAAGATTTTAATTACCTTCTCTGAAGGTTCATCCTATTGAAATTCTGATAGAGAAGATACAGATTAAGAATGCTGTGGAAGAGAAATATTTTGGTTAAAAATCTGGCTTAATGACTTTTACTGCATAATTAGATATATAAAGTTTATAACTGATATTTAAAAAAAAAAGAGCATTTGATAAGATTTAGTTCACTCAACTTGTTATTTAAACTATTTCTTCCATATAATTTTGTAAAAGTAAAGTTGATTAATTTCAAAATAGCTATAACTGAATCGGGTAATATTTCCATAAGGTATTTGGATTAAGGTTAGATATGTGAGCCATGTGCCAGAGGATTGAAAGTTGGCTAATGTTACTTATATTTTTAAAGGAGGTGATAAAAATTATCCAAATAACTATAGGCATTATTAGTCTTACATCAATGGTTTGAAAAGTTTTTGAAAGTCTGATAAAAGATTCTTGCAAAGTTATTTAACCAAGTTTACAATTTTGCTGGATATTTAATATCAGTTCATTTAGGTCTTGGGTGTTAGAGGGATGCTGCTACTTTACAAAATGATATATTTAAATATATTAAATGCAAAGTAATGCATATGGATTATAGTAATTCAAACTATAAATATAATTTTGATGGGAATAAACTTAACGGTGTCATGGAAGAAGAGAATCTTTAGTGTTTTGACTGACCAGTCTAATAAGCCATCTAAGCAGTGTATGTTATTGCTAGTGGTAGGGCACATACAATCGTAGGTTCTATCTAAAGAAATATTGAACATAAATCTAAAGAAGTCATCATCTGATTGTATAGGATAGGCCTCATTTGTAGTACTTTCTTTCATATTGGGCTCCTTACCTTCAAAAAACATTACATTGTTGGAAAGTGTTCAAAGGAGGACTATTAGAATGATACTTGGGATGAAAAGGCTGTCATAAGAGGACAGGTTAAGTTTAAGTTCACTGAAAAATTTTCTCTTGAAGGGTTATGATTGAGGTCTTCACTATTATAAAGGAACTGATAGCGTTGATGCATCATCTTTTTTGTAGTTAATAGTGAAAATTGGAGAAAAATATACATTTTGTCAGGGGTAGGAGCCATCTTTAGCATAGACAGTTTTTACTTTTCTAACAGGGTGGTTGGCCCTTAGAACTGGTTGCCTTTAGACATGGATACAATAAATTTAAGGGGGTTTAAGGAAAGGCTTGATAAATATTTAAATGATCAGAGCAGAATTGGAATTTTTGTTTTAATTTTTTCACAAAATGGAAGGGACAACCATGATGGACTACCAAACCCTTTGTTGTGCTTTAACATTATAATATATTGTAATTGATTTATCAATTAAGTGATCGAGTATTTGTCGAGGGAAAGTATTTTTGGCTTTTCCTGTTGCTAAGGTGAATAAAGAAATTACCATAAAAAGTATTCATGTTTAAGCTTTTAGGAAAGTTCACAGTATCTTAGTTAAGATGCAGATCAACTGATATTAAAATCATCATACTTGCAGTTCTAGGTTGTCTAAATGGACTTTCAAACAATACGAAATATCATTAATCTTGGGAAAATAAAATAAAAAGAGTTAAGGTATTTTTGTAAGTATTGAAACACAAATTCTGCAATTTCCAATACGATACACACCACTACACACAGAAAGCTATCTTCCCTGTTCCATCTGCCTTATAGATTTGTATGCTACTAGCGTTTAGGAAACTCCCACCTAAACTCGTGAGATTTCTTGTGAATTGCACTTCTGTATAATAACGTTTTTATGCAATAAAACCACCTCCACGAAGAAGAGGGCAGAGGGCGATACAACCTCTCTGCACACTAACTCACTTTATGCTTTTGCACTCATGATTCTTTTTCTCAGCATTGAAGGTATCAGATGTGATTTGTTTTTTACAATATACTGAGATTTGCACTAGATTAAAGGAATTTGTTTCCTTTATTTTCTTCAAAATATGAACTCTCATGTTCATGCAACTTCAACTTTTTGTGTGAGTAAGGAATTTCCTCACACAAGTCAAGTTCCAAATATGGCTACTGGAGGCATATTGAACATGGATGCGTGATGACCATTGTGCATAGAGTAATGGGTTCCATTATGTAGTTGAGAGATTCGGCACCCATCCATTCATCTGGGGTTCTTTCTCCTCATTGTAAAGGGGAGAATGAAGAGGAAAACGAGTTTGACTTTTTGTTTCCTCCTTCTGGTTATGCCTTACGAACCTCTCTTCCTGTTAAAGAGAATATTCAAACTTCCCCACATTAGTAGTTTCGTATGGTGTTTCTCACCCCCAAATTCTTTTGGAGATGAGTATCCTGGAGTAGGATTTGCGTCCTAGTCCAGACACCAGATGAACATGTTTTGGTGTGACGGGGATTCGAACTCTCAACTTCCCCACATTATCGGGACCTTCTAGCTCAGGTAAGTTCTGTTCTATCTCTTACCCCTGTGTCATATGACTTTTACAGTTCCCTCCTTCACAACCCTAACGAATTTTATGTTTTTCCCCCTTCTCTTCATATTAGGATTCATGTTACTTCCTTTTAAACCAACTACATTCCTACGACCATATACCTCATCCTCCTTGCTTTTCTGATTCTTTTATTCTGGTCTACAGTCATTTGAACCTCACCCTTTCTGCGTCATAAACCTTAGAATCTCTTGCCTGTTAGGGGGGCAGACCCCTTTGGGTCAGTTTCTCTCCAGTGCCCAATTCTCTTATCTTTGTCTGATACTAATTTCTGTGCTTCATTACCTTTCATCTCTACACCTTGTCAGAGGCACTTCACTGAGCCCTAGATGACTTTGCTGGCAATTTTCGTTCCATTCCCTTTTTTACTGTGGCCCATACTATTTTTTCTGCCCTTACCCTTCTCACTTGGATTATTTGTTGTTGGGACTTGTTGCGTAGGGATACCCTCCTTTCCTGTGTTGAACTTCCTTCCTCCTTTTTATGCGACTTCCACCTTGCCCCATTTCTTCACCCTCATGTTTGTGGAGGTATTCCTAATTCAATTGAATCACAGGCAGAAGATGCCCATTATCAATTCTCACTTACATCTTTCGTAACTCGACTGTCTTAAACCCCATCTCACAACTATACCTCGTCCTAGTACCTCTGCAGCCTGTATTTCTTTCCATCCTTTCCCATATACTAGACATCTTCCCAATTTCAGTCTCTGTGGGCTCATCAGTGACTACAAAGTAGATTTGGATTTTTTGGGGCTCACCTATTACAGTTTGCCCACCTTTGGATATGAATCTTTGCAGATAGATGGGTTACTCTTGTCCTCAATCACAGACTTTCTACAATTCTTCTCCCCTTACCCTATCAGTCCTCACCCAGT